TACCTCGACTAGCTCTTAATATACTTATTATGAAATCAGAGTATGAATTCCTCTTTCTCAGGGTGGATTCAATAAAGATTAATTTATTTTATTTAATTTTTAAGTTATAATTTCTTAACTTCTTTTATTTTATTTAAATTTTGTTTTTATATTAACATTGAATATATAAAAAATTTCATTGATTTGCCTGAAAATTGAATAAAAATAGACAATTTGCTACACTACCTTTGTTTAATGTACACTATTTTCTGAGAAACACTATAACCATGATCGAAATTAACCATAAAATTAATTCAGATAAAGAAAAATCCTTGAAACTAAAGTTATATTTCAAACACACACCATTCACACTGATTATGACGTCATTTCAACTGAGTTCAGTCAATTTTGACATTTGATCTAACATTTAAAATTATATTAACCTTGGTTAGTCGATTTATGACATACAGTTGATATTTATAGTATGCCGAATGGCCCTGGCAGCTGAGGCCTACAAAATTGAAATGAAGAAGAATATTTATAGTATATAGTATATACTTTAGACCAGTAGTTTTTCTTAAGGACATTGTTATTACAAAATCATATTGTGAAACAAAATTTAAATAAAATAATTGTCCTTTTAAATAATAAATAACATTTGGTTATTAATTAATTGATATTTTAAAAATTTACATTATCAGTTTTATGTAATACCTTTTAAATTGGAAACCAATCAGAACAAACTTCTCATATGTATTGTAATGTTGACATGATATAGGGTATATAGGGTGTCCCATTTTTAAATAAGTAGTTTTAGAATTTATTTGAATAAAATGGATATCATAACAATATATATATATATATATATATATATATATATATATATATATATATATATATATATATACAGGGTAGCTGTTAAAGATGGAACCAAACCTATAGTACTTAAACGGTTCAACATACAAAACCCAAAATTTCAGAATTTCAACTAAATATATTTACACATATTTAAGCCCAAAAATTATTTTTTTATAATTACAAAATTTTAAGCATGGCCGCCATTCGTCCGTAAAATTGTCCATATCAAAGTTGACTACTGATATTATTTTTTGTCAAATTCGCATTAAATAAATTGTTTTTATGAACAATTTGTCAAAAAAATACTGAATTTGACAGATAACTAATACAGTACCTGCCAACTATATTATGAGCTATTTTAAATTTTTTAAGAAGCAGAGTTGAATGTCTTATGACGTTTTTATTTTTCTAACGTCGATTGATTTTTACCCGTCGTTTTTGGTACCAAAACCACCGTGCGTTATTCAGTTTTTGTGTACTTTTATTTATTAATCTCCGCTTAGATACTTAGAACCAGTTATTTAATAACAGTTTAAACTTTCGTTCACCTGAACTTGGATCAAATATTGAACTAAGATTAACATCAATTACGTTTTGTCAGTATCACAGTTCAGATGATCCAAGTTTAATTTATATTGGTAGTTCTGAATTGAGATACTTCTGACAAAACTGAATGATGTGTGTCAGTTGGACGTTTTTAAAAACATATTCATTAAAAGTGAAGATGAAAAATTGCACGAAATGAAAAAAAAAATTGACGTACCGCCAATTTTTTGTGCAAACAAGAAGAAATATTGCCAAATTTTGCTTACTATTCTCTTACGTACTCTAGAGAAGTATTCAGTGGTAATTAAAAAAGATTCCGATACAAGAAATCGTATAGTTAACAGAACCATGACTTTAGGAGTTAAAGCTTTATTTCTAGAATTCAAAATCTGTCTTATTATAAATTTTATTAGTTAAAAGTCAGATTTTTAATTCCTCATTCCATTTCGTTAATTATTATGTTGGCCGTTTTTTCGGAGAAACGGAATCTTGGGTACATGGTACATTAATAGGCAACAATATTCACCATTGTCTTATATACAGAAATTGTGAAATATACATTTATTTTGTCAATGTCAAAACATTGATCTTAGTTTAATCGCTCAACTTTGATCGTTTAATTTTTCGGAGAGTTTAAATTAAGTTCAGACGTGAACTACATTTGAAATACAGCATATGAGTTAAATCACGTCAAGTGGACCCCCATTTTCCACTTGATCATCGAATTCAGGTATCAGTATTTTTTCATGAAGTATTCACTATAAACAATTAATCCCCAAAACAGTTTTTAATAACTTTCATTTTAACAACCAGTTTTGTATTATTGAAATTTTTTATGACTTTTAGTTAAAAAATTGATAATTAAAAAACTTTTATAGATATTCTAATGAAACTTTCAGGATCAATACTTGTGTTTTAATAAAATGTGCAAGAGTTTAAATTAGTTATTTATTTTCATATTGTTAATTAACTTTTAAGTTAACAAATGAACATTTTAATGACTTCTCCCTCAAAAAACGAAATTTTTTTTTTTTTCGGTATTTTGCATTAAACATTTAAGTAACAGAATCCGCAAAAAAATTTGACTGATCGCGATTAGATTAAACAAATTTTTTTTTATTAATGATGGGTGCCGAGCGCTGTCGGTACAGCGCGCTACCACGCGTCATTGACTTACCTTTAAATCGACAATTCTTTATTTTTTTTAATAAAAATAATTTTATTTAATAAATGATTTTAATAAAACAAATTACAAAAATTTAACGAATAAAATATTTTTTTATAGAAAAACGAACAGAAATATTAAAAATGTATCAGTGTTTTGTTATTGTATTTTTCAGATTGTTTTTTAAGAATTCCACTATTTTTTAATTATTTTAGGTCTTAAACAATATTGTCAATTATTGAAAATTAATATAAACTTTACTTTAGTTACCCAGCTTTAATCCATTTTTAGATTAAAAAAAAAAATGCATTCAGTTATTTTCTTTATTTGTTATTTTTATATATATACACATAATAATTCCCAATAAAATCTTTAAAAACATGAGCGCGTTTTTTTTCAATTAAAACTAGATTTTTAATATTTTTTTTTTATTAAACAGATTACAGCATTTATTTACGCGGCCCACGATAGATCATAAACAAAATTATAAACACCAATAAAATTCAAAAACACCAATACAATTTGAAACAAATTTGAAACAAACCAATTAGATTTAGATCAATGTAAACTGTTAAGCACAAATTTATTAAATAAAAATTCTTATCTTTAAATTTATTCTGATGTGTTTATAAACAGATTTAACAAGTGAACTCAAATGGCTTGTGATATTCTTTTGTTTTTCATGTGTATTCATATATAAAAATAACAAATGAAGAAACTAACTGAACGCAATTTTTTTTTTAATCTAAAAATGGATTAAAGTAAAGTTTACATTAATTTTCAATAACTGACAATATTGTTTAAGACCTAAAATAATTATAAATGGTGCAATTCTTAAAAAACAATCCGAAAAATACAATAACAGAACACTGATAAATTTTTAAAATTTTTGTTTTTCTATAAAAAATTATTTTATTCATAAATTTTTGTAATTTGTTTCATTAAAATCATTTATTAAATAACATTATTTTTATTAAAAAAATAAAGAATTATTTCTTATTTATAAGTCGATCTAAAGGTAAGTCAATGACGCGTGGTAGCGCGCTGTACCGGCAGCGCTCGGCACCCGTCATTAATAATTTTTTTTTTTGTTTAATCTAATCGCGAGCAGTCAAATTTTTTTATGGATTCTATTACTTGAATATTTAATGCATAATACCTAAAAAAAATGTTCGTTTTTTGAGGGAGAATCATTAAAATTTTCATTTGTTAATTTAAAAGTTAATTACCAATATGAAAATAATTAAATAATTTAAACTTTTGCACATTTTATTAAAATACAAGTATTGACCTATAAATCCTAAAAGTTTCAATAGAATATCATTGATAGTTTTTTAATTATTGATTTTTTAACAAAAAGTCATAAAAGTTTTCCAATAATACAAAAATTGTTGTTAAAATGAAAATTATTAAAAACTGTTTTGGGGATTGTTTATAGTGAATACTTTATGAAAAAATACTGATACCTGAATTCGATGATCAAGTGGAAAATGGGGACGACGTGATTTAACTCATCTTTCAATTAAACCCAGTTCATTTACTGAACTCAGTTTAAACTTTGATTGAAAAACTGGCCCTTAATGTTTAAGTACTAGTGTTTCAATATGTTTATTATATTTTGGACTTGTGCGTTACCCAAAATTTGTGATAGTGATACATTATTTTTGTCTATACCATATTTTAATATTGTAGTCTTTTTCTCAAAATAAAATATATTGGTGTGTATTGGAAGTATTGTCTTTGATTTACCCAGTTTAGCCGTTTGAGAGGTAGGTCAATTTTGGAATCTGGAAAAAGATATATCGGCTTGGCGCTTAATTATTTTGATCATTTTCAAACTCACTCCCATCTCCACTACAGAGTGAAGCCGAAGGCAGAAAGGTTGAGATCGACAACCCGGTACACTATAACCCCGGCTTTTGAGGTTATAAAGTTGTAATCATAAGTTTAAAATTCAATAACGTATTTTATTTTATTACACAGTGCTTAAAGTAATTTATTATTTACTACCAATAGATAATGTCAAATATTACAATTTCTAGAATATTACACATACTAGTAATATGAAACGGACAAAAGAGTATGTCAAAGCGCCAGTGTTAAAAAAATGTAATATATGTTTTGGAAATATAAAATTTTCAGTAAATATAGAATTTATTCTATCTATTAGTAACATAATTTATTCTCGACTGCCTAATAATATCCAGGTGTCGATACAAAAACTACGTAATTTCAGTTAAAAATGTAAGTTTTATTTGGATATTACATTTATAATTTAAAATTTTCATATTTACGTTATATTGTAGGGCTTGAAAATATTGTGATAATTTATAGATTAATTCAATACTTTTGATTCCGAGTGTATATTGACATCTATTCTGTTATCGGCAGTATTTGTGCAAAATGATTAACTTAATTGTGGTAAAATAATAATTGTTTATAAATAAGTAATCTTTTTTCAAATATTTATTCTTTTATAAAATAGTGTAGTGGATTCATAAAATCTCCTAATTTCCATCCTTGTTAGATTAAAGCAAAGTAAGTACATTTATATATTAATAAGGTAAAAATCTAACTGTTCTCAGATGTGGTTATGCAAAAATATTGATTTATTTATACAGTATGATTCAAATTATAATGGAAATAGGTAGTTTTTGGAAAAAAGCTCGGACAGGTGAATTTTGTTTACTAAAAGCCCAATTGTTCAATAAAGATTCAAGTTTTCCTCACCTCCCATTTTTGGACATTGACGTCATTGACACTTTTTTAAATTGTAACCCCATTTTTTTTTTCTTGATTTTGATAGATCTTACAATTTCCTACTCGGAAACATAATATTTGCAATATCTATAACAATTTTTTTGAATAATTCATTTAAAGATCAGACACAAAAATTTTAAAGAGCACACTAACTGAATGAAAGCTAAATATAACAATCTAATAATATTAATAATAAAGAATTAATGACAATTTTACAGCAAAATAATTTTAAAATATACTACTAAATTATTTGTTCAAAATATCTTCCACCGACATCTTGCCTTTTATTTTTACAAAAAATATTATTATTATTATTCATTTAACACAACAAAATCTCAAGTGTTTAAATTGTTGACATTCAGCTGAAATACAATGGGAAATACATGTAACGATCTCTTTTTGGACGTTCCCCAAAATTTCCGGAGTTATGTTTGCAATCTCAATACGTATCCGTTCTTTGAGGTCATTGATATGTTATAGTCTATTTTGGTACACTTTACTTTTTAAGTATCCCCATTGAAATAAATCAAGAGGGTGCCTAGGAGGCCATTCTATTGATCCTCTTCGACCTATCCACTGATTTGGGAAGACATTCTCCAAGTAATTTCGCACCAAGGCAGCATAGTGTGTTGTTACCACAATTAATTTTTGTTCGGAAACAATTGGTCCAATTCGAGGATCGAGAAGTTTTGAAGAAACTCCTAAATATCGAGGACCTGTTAAGGTTTCTATAAAAAAGTTTGGCAAAATAGTTTAATTATTTATTATTCCCACCCAAACATTTATTTTCTCTAGGTATTGGGTATGGTACTTTTGCATCGAGTGTGGATTTTCGGTAGCCCAATATTGAGAAGTCTGACGATTAACATGTCCGTTTAGTACAAATGTAGATTCATCAGAAAAAAAGTATTTTTTTTTTATAAATATTGAATATCTGTTTTTTTTTGTCCATTATAATTTCACAGAATTTAACTTGTTTATTAAACTCATCTTCCATAAGTAACTTTGGTAGAAGTGCCACTTTTGCTTTTTTAGCGTTCTAAAAACTGCTGAATTGCCTAGGTCATTATCTTATGCTACATGCCATCAAATGGTATGAGGATAATCTTCAAAACTTAACAGAACATCCAGTTTCTAGTTTTAAAAAATTGGATTTCTATTACCTTTAATGACGTCTTTCACATGAATCGTTTCTCTGATTTTCATCTTAATTTCACTCACGGTGGATTGTGAAATTGGTTCTCGTTTTGGGTATTTATTATTAAATAACGTACATATCTTTCTGCGTACCTAAATGTTTTATCTTTACAACCAATTATTATTAAAAATTAAATTTTTAGCGTTTCAGTTAGCATCATGTTAATGAATACAAACAATTTTCGAAAACCTCTACCCCAATTCTATTACCTACTTGATAGAAAACGAATTAAGTTGAATATCCAGGTAACAATTTTGATAAGGTAACTAGATTCGTTATTGAAAAAGTGAAAAGTTGATAAGATTTAAAAATATTAAAATAGTTTTTTTTTGACAATATACAACATTAATTTTTTTAGACAATTAATATGGCTGAACAGATATTAAGAATCTTTTAAATCATGTATTACAAGAAAAATTTCCATTTAAAGTTTGACGTCATCACGCTCACATAGATGTCGTTAAAAATAAAAATCTGATGTGTCCAACACATGACTTTCCTATCTAGTTATTACAGGCTTTTTCCGGTTATTTTGTACAACCTTTTGTAGCACCTCTGTTAATATTTAGAGGATAAACTAAACTAAAATTTTGTGAAAAAAACAAAAAATATAGAGAATTCAATTAGAAATAACTTCTATTTAAAGAATTTTCTTCTCCAAATGTGACCCATTTTATTATTCAGTTATGCTCTAATCCCTTAAGTCCCTCTCTGTCTTATTTGGCATTTGATGCTCAACTTGTTCGATTATCATACATAATTAAACCCCTTAAGACCAAACATATGTGACGACCATGGCGGGGGCACTTTCGCAAACATTCCGTAGTCATCGTTATAATGATTCTGGTCTTTTCCGGATATGAGATGTTTTGGTAAAGGAGAATTCTGGATCACCAATTTGTATATAAATATTGGTGAAGGATCAACAAGAAGTAATTAGATATATGGACAGTAAAGATAAATAGTGAACAGTTTAAAGACATTCGAAATATATATATATATATAAATTAGAATATTAGTGTTATAAAATAAATAAATTTTTAAAAAATATATTAATAAATAAACTGTTGTTTAAAATAAACAAACATCACATTGGTGTCGAGAAGTGGAATAGTGTAAATAAATAGTGGACAATCATGGCTAAAAGACTTTTTGATTTAAAAGTACCTAAGCTACGTCGAGAATTAGAAGAACGTGAACTGGAGACGACAGGGAAGAAATCAGAGCTGGCAGAACGACTTAAAAAAGCACTAGAAAATGAATGGTTGGATCCGGAAACGTTTCTATTTTCGAATGATGCATCTGCTATAATTTCTTCAATTTATTCCGATATTGAAAGTAAAATGTCTTCTATGAAAAACGATATTTCTTCTTTAGAAACTAAAGTTTCTTCCAATGTTTACTGTATAAAAAATGATATTACTTCCTTAGAAAGTAAAGTTTCGTCCAAAATTTCTTAAGAAGAATATCTTCTTTAAAAACCGACATTTCTTCCGACTTGGAAAACAAAATGTCTTCCATGGAAAATAAATTTTCGTCTAATATTTCTTCCTTCCAAAATGTCTTCTTTAAAAAACTTTTCAGGAATATGAAGTAGATATTGCCAAGTTGGTACGATTTACCTACCCATCAGCTCCAAAATACATGATTAAATGTTTGGCCGTTCAAGCATTTGTAGATGGACTTCGTGACCATGAAATGCAAAGAACACTTCGTTTAGCCCGTCACAAAATATTGGTCGATATCTTGTCCGCTGCTCTTGAATATAAAGCGGCTACGCTGGATTCTGGTGGATACAGTGAAGCAAGGACTATAAAAGAAGAAGAAGAACAGGGAAATAAATTGGACCAATTAATTCACATGATAAATACCCTTATCGAGAAGCCACCAAAGACCATTAGGTCCTGAAATTGCGGTGAAATGAGAAAAGTAAGCAGTTCGCGCAAACGCCCAAGGAACACTACGCATCAAAAAACTATTCCGGTGGTTGTACAGGAAGGAACGGTGTTACCTAAAAGTAGTGAAACCATAAGAGTAAGACGGTTGCAAGAAATTGTAGAGAAGGTAACGCCTATCATGGCGGAACCTTCGAAGCGCAATGAAGGTGTTGGTCAAGGAACTCTGAATGGAATGGGGTTGGCCACATCTGTTAAAGAAGTTACAGTACAAAGAACGTCGGTTGTCAGCGATGAGTGGGCCCCTGTCAAATTTAGGGAAGAACAAGAGAACGATCCCGTTTTAAAGAAGATGCGACAATGGAAAGAGGAAAATCGTCGACCTACTTGGCAAAAAGTATATAATCTCTCTCCAGTACTTAAGTTGTATTTGGCTAAGTAGAACTGTTTTATCCTGGAAGATCGCTTATTAAAGCGAGTACTTGAAAATGATGATGGTTCCGAGAACAGAAGACAGTTGGTCATTCCAAGAAGTAGAGTGGCTGAAGTACTTCGTCAATTACACGACAGTCCATCAGGAGGACATCTCGGTATTAGGAAAACCCTTCAGAGAGTTCGGGAAAGGTTTTACTGGATGAACAGTTTCGATGATGTAAAAAACTGGTGTACGAAATGTACCGCCTGTGCTATGAGTAATGGACCTCAACCAAAAAGAAATACTCCCATAAAGCAATATAACGTTGGTAGCCCACTTGAGAGAATCGCCTTGGATATTGATGGACCATTCTCCGCGACCAAGGATGGTAATAAATATATTTTGGTGGTTATGGATTATTTTACAAAGTGGGTGGAAGTCTATACCATTCCAAATCAAGAGGCCGCAACTATTGCAGATGTATTCATAAATAGTTTATCTGTCGATTTGGAGTGTTCTTGGAGATCCACAGTGACCAAGGTAGAAATTTTAAAAGTCAACTTTTCCGTGGAATCTGTGACAGACTATGCATGAAGAAAACCAGAACCACAGCACTGCACTCACAATTCGATGGAATGGTATACCGAATGAATAGGACCATTGGCAAATATCTGTCAAAAGTGGTTTCAAACCATCAGCGAGATTGGGATCAGTATCTTTCGCTCTTTGCAATAACTTATAGATCCGCTGTCAATGAATAAACAGGCCAAACACTAGCAAAGGTCTTGTTTGAGCGTGAGGTGAGACTACCGTGCGACCTCGAGTTTGGATGCCGACCTGGAGAAGATGTAGCTGGTGAAGATTATGTGATCCAGTTACGACGAAGAATGGACGACATGCATGAATTAGTTTGCTCTCATCTCCAAATCGCCAGCGACAGGATGAAGAAACGATACGATACTCAAGCTACGGAGGGATGTTTCAAATAAGGCGAAAAAGTCTGGCTTCATAACCCAAAAAGACAAAAGGGTTATTCTCCGAAGCTTCAAAGGTCTTGGGAAGGTCACTACCTCATAAAGAATAAAATATATAATGTAATTTACCGTATAAGTAAGATCCCAAATGGTAAACCAAAGGTAATGCATCAAAACAGGTTGGCGCCATTTGAGGGTGACCATAAAGAAAAAGTAAACCAACTTCGAGAAACACCTGACCTTGTCTTTAAAGAATTTATGGGTTCATATGGAGGTACTGGAAAAGCCAGATATGG